GCAAATGGCGCGAAAACTCGGGGAATGCGTTCAAAAAGGCGCTGCGCGAGCGTGTCGAGAGGGTTCGGTCCTCTAGCCAAACAGAACAACTCCAACTCCAGACAACGCCACAGCCACCGCAGCAAGTCGGGATAAAGACGGCCGCCCTTCAGAAGGCTCTCCGGTCCGTCAAGATACACGGCTCTGTGCGCATCGACGATGGATTAGGGAAAGCGTCCATCATCGACACCGTACGCCTGATATCCCCAACGGCCTCTCCCGAATATGCTTCACAGATGTTCACACGCGTCATACAAAAGGATGATCGTGTTATATCCATCAGGTCCCGTACAACAAGCATCAGAATCAATGGGCGCGAAAAAAAAACCCGTGTACTGACGTAGCTACTCTTCTTGTGGAAATCATCTGGATGCTACCAGATGGCGCCTCGAGAGCGTTCCGTCGTGACTCTGCTGAGACAATCTGTCGTATTATGGGTGGAGATCTCGATCTGTGCCACCAGATAGCGCAGAATAACCGGACATGGGGGTCTATAGAGGGGGGTGAAGTCATCCGACAGGCTTTGCTTAAGCCGATCGCGTACAAAGAGGTAGAAAAGTCAACCAGAGTGATGGAGCGTTTGGTGAGAGACGCGATTGCTTCTCTGGTCGGAGGAGAAGCCGAGGCAAAAACACCCGCAGGTAACATCGATGTACTCAGTGGTAAGGAAGTGATCGAGGTGAAGTACTACAAGAAGTGGAAGCACGGGCTCGGCCAGGTCCAGATATACCATCAATTTCACCCCCGTCTGGCCATGCGCCTCCACCTCTTTGCACATACGGGGGAAGTCGGTACGGAGAAGTATTTTGCAATGGCGAAGTCGATGTGTGACAAGTTCGGCGTAAGGGTCACGTTCGAAGGGGCACCCGCTCTGGCTCTGGAAGACGGTCCGCGTCGTGTAAAAAGGGCCCGTGAAGAAAACTTGTCTTCCCAACAAGTGCGCAAGCGCCTTGCTGATCTGAAAGCAGAAGAAGCCAGGCTTAACGCAGTGCTTGCCGATCAAGTTTAGACGAATGCCATAATTAATCATATTCAATTTTGCTGAAACAGCTTCGCAGCACCCTCTTTCTTGAGGAACTTGACCATTTTCGCTATCGTTTCAATATCAGCTACGGGTTCGACCGGCCCCTCTCCGTTGATTCTCATGTAGGAGACTTTGCCTTTCAAATCTTCGCGTAGCTGCGAAGCGATGCACCCGTTCCAAATGTCGGCCTCGGGCGAACTCCGAGCCTTTCTGGCTATGATTCTGGCCCTGTGTTCTGCAGAGTGTTTTTTCTTGGCAGGCATGATGTCTTTTGTTTGCGGGGTTCCTTTCGACACAAGCCTTCTAATCTTACGCATAAACTTTCTTTTTTGGTCGTTGGGGTTTTCCGGCGGAAAGCCTGCAGTGTACCATCCGTTTTTTTTTAAACACAAAGTTTACTCAAAACTTAACACTTGAAAGCCTACAAACATAGTTCCGACGCCGAGAAGCGCGCTTTGTGGAAGAAGGTAGTTGTGGAGCTGCAGCGCAAACTAAAGAGGGGCGAAACGGTGTATGTGAGCACGCATGGAACAGGGGTGAGCTGGCTGCACGTGCGGCTGGCTTCAAGGCCGATGTACTACGTCACCTCGGTTGCTTAAAAACAGAGCTTGACCTTGCCGGCAACAGAACTTCCCCCACCACCGACACAACATGCTTCACAAACACGCTCCCAGGTTGCTTGAATGGCTCTCCGTTATTAGCGTACCAGTCTTTCATGACGGGCCAAGTCAGTTCCACCGCCTGCGCCCCGAGGCGCACCCTCGTAGCGCCATTTTAATTGACTGGTCCATGGTGTTGCCGTTCTCGAGCAACGCCTCCCTGTACGCGGACTCGCACGCGTGGTGATACTCGCTCCAGAAACGCGGGCCACCGGTATCAAACAGCTCGCGGGTGATGTACTGTATTCCCACGAGCTCCTCGAGGTCGACGTCTATCAGACCACAGATGTAGTCATGGCAGTACACGCTATCGGGCCGAATGTCTAGCCCTCTCAAATCCATGGCGTCCTGCAGCATACGGCGCCGGTGCGTGCGGTCGTCTTTCGTGCGCCAAAACTCCGCCATCTTGGCCGCTACCGTCTCGGGGTCGTGGGCGTACTCGATGCATCGCCGCACCCTCGTTCTCATCGCGGGATACTTCATCATTCGCTCNTCGACAACATGATTACCGCCGCGCCTGCTGCCGATACTTCAACGGTTTCTGTGTGTGTGGCTATGCCGGTAGACGACACCATCGACCCGGAGACGGGTCTGCTCATTGCAACCCCGAAGTGTAGCCCGAGTGTTCGGGGCCCAGAGACGTCAATTTGCGTCGAAGCTGGGAAAATGGGCATTGGTGTTGGCGAAAAGGCCGGTCAGGTCGGCAAGGTTGTTAAGCGGCTGTACTCCGAGCGCTACGGACAGGAAGCTGGTCGTAAGATACCCAAGCGCAGCACCACTTTTAGGGGAAAGCCCTTCAGTGAAAACACTTACTATGCCCGTGATTCGGACCTCATTCAGCGTGCCATTGGCATCGTGTGTGCCCCGGCGGCGACGCCCTGATTTGAAAAAAAACAGATTGTATCTACGTGAACCACCGGCAGCGGCAGATGAAGAAGCCATGCTTAATCAAATTCAAATTTGCTGAAACAGCTCCGCAGCACCCTTTTTCTTGAGGAGCTTGACCATTTTCGCTATCGTTTCAATATCAGCTACGGGTTCGACCGGCCCCGCTCCGTTGATTTGCATATACGACACTTTTCCCCGTAGGTCCTCGCGCAGCTGCGAAGCGATACACCCGTTCCAAATATCGGGCTCGGGCGAACTCCGCGCCTTTCTTGATTTCAATAGGGCCTTGTGTGTTGCAGAGTGTTTTTTCTTGGCAGGCATGATGTCTTTTGTTTGTGGGGTTTCTTTCGACACAAGCCTTCTAATCTTACGGATAAACTTTCTTTTTTGGAATTTTTGGTCGTTGGGGTTTTCCGGCGGAAAGCCTGCAGTACGCCACGAGCGACCAGAAGAGCGCTTATGTTAAGGTTGACTCGGAGTCGGTCGGTCAGTTCCACCGCCTGCGCCCCGAGGCGCACCCTCGTAGCGCCATTTTAATTGACTGGTCCATGGTGTTGCCGTTCTCGAGCAACGCCTCCCTGTACGCGGACTCGCACGCGTGGTGATACTCGCTCCAGAAACGCGGGCCACCGGTATCAAACAGCTCGCGGGTGATGTACTGTATTCCCACGAGCTCCTCGAGGTCGACGTCTATCAGACCACAGATGTAGTCATGGCAGTACACGCTATCGGGCCGAATGTCTAGCCCTCTCAAATCCATGGCGTCCTGCAGCATACGGCGCCGGTGCGTGCGGTCGTCTTTCGTGCGCCAAAACTCCGCCATCTTGGCCGCTACCGTCTCGGGGTCGTGGGCGTACTCGATGCATCGCCGCACCCTCGTTCTCATCGCGGGATACTTCATCATTCGCTCGACCTCGGTACTACTTATGTTACAACTCCCCTGGCCCTGCAGCGCCATGCGTAGCATTCTTGGTGCGTTTTTTTTCAGTCGCTCGACGCTCGCCGGAATTTGGGACAGAGGTCCGTTTTTTAGTTCAGCCAGCTCCGATGGGCAGAGGTAGCGCGAGATAGCCACCCCCTCCAACCGGAAGGCGCGTGTAGACACAAATAGCGAGTACTCGAAAGCCCGCCGCAGCTGGTCGTACACGAACGCGGTGATGCCGCGGTTCTCGCAATAATTCATGGCCGCAACGGGGTCCGGCGAGCACAGCCGCACTGAAATGTCGTGTGCCGAAAACCTGTACTTGACCTGCTTCAGTTTTTGCTTCGGGTGTGCCGCCCACAGATAATCCCCGAAAATGTGAGAGAATAGAGCATGGTGCAGCGGAGCAGCGGGGCTGATGCCGTGCACCCTCGTCAACCGCTCGAGCCGGACCTGTCGCTTCTGTGCAACCTGAGCGGCCTTGGCCTCACACTCTTGGTCCACCGCGCCTTGCAACACCCTCAGCTCCGCCACCGAATACATGCGCATAGGCGCGGCGTTACGGTAGTGGGGGTTGCGTCGCGGCGTAGACATCAATTGTTTCACGCGCTTCGGCGGTATCGTAGGGAAAAGGTCCCTGGCCTTGGAGAAGCAAACGATGGGGTCACCCTCGTCACTGAGTGCGGTTGACGCGCATGACTTGCACACGAGTGTGAGTCGAATCCCCTCGAATATCCCGAGGCTGTTGGTCTGATTACATGAAGTGCACGAAGAATCCATGTTTGAAATGTGGCATTATTATTAATGCTGAGTCCAAAGTTTACACGTCAAGTTTCACAGCTTGAAAAATGCGTAACTCAACGGAAGTTCGGTTTTAAATGTGGTTGTCGTTCGTACGAAATACAAGATTTATTATGTTGCCGGTGTTTATAGACGCCTCATGGCATATGTCAACACCAAGACTGCCATCGAACGTCTCGGGGTCTCCAACGTTACCCTTCGAAAATGGGACAAGCTCGAAGCGATCCCGACCATTAGAACCCCGGGTGGTCAGCGTCTTTACGACATCGAAACCTTCCAAAAAACGCAAGCGCTCCGAACGGTGTGATGAAGACAAAATCACACCGAAACCAGAAACTCCTGCATGCTACTTTGAAACACTTTCAGTTCAGGCAGAGATTGATCAACAAGGGGAATGACCACGGGAAGAAAGTTGCGATCGTACCTGAACAACTGACAACCAAGCTGTGTGACAGATGTGGTTTTATCAACTGGAAGATGAAAGCAGAAGAGGTGTTCACCTGCCCGAAATGTAAACACAGTTGTGACCGAGACATTCACAGTGGTAGGTGTATTTTCATTAAGAACTCTGTGTGAGTAGAGAGAGTACCCGGGAAGGTTACCCCGATTAGGGATCTGGGACGTAAGAATCCCTGCAATTTATTGCCTACAGATAGTTGACGACAACGTCGAGTCCCTAATTAATAGGGATAGACAGCGTTGGTGAACAATGTAGAGAGATCGTAACCAGAACGCAGGCCATGATAAATAATATTATAGGTACAAAGTTTACTCAAAACTTAACACTTGAAAGCGGCGCATACGGGGGCCACCGCGTTCAAAAGCTTCAGAAAAAAATCTACTGCCGCGAGTAAAACGATGGACACCATCATGATCGACGCTACGACGGGCGTCGTTGGGGTCAAAACGCTCATTTGGCACATCATGCCCCAGCTGCATAGCTCTTCGGTGCTGAAAGGCGTGCACCGCGCCTTGGAGGACTCCGGTGCCTCGATGGACACGACCCTCATCAACGGACGTTTCACCAAAACAGCCACCGTTGACCTATGCTGCTCAATTCTCGATCGCATGAAGGGGAATCAATGGGATCAGTGGCGGCAGTCGTCGGGCCTGGTGTTCAAGCGTGCTCTCCGCGAGCGCGTCGCCAGCGTTGTCTCCTCCGGTCAAGTCGAGCAAGCTCACCCACCGGTGCAGCAGGCGGAGGAACAGCATGTGGAGGGAGTCGGGACGAAGGCAGTCGCCTTGCGTAAGGCGCTTCGGGCCATGAACATTCAGGGGTCGGTTCGGGTTGATGAGCGATCGGGCAGGGTTTCCGGCATCGACGTGATCAAGATGCTGTGCACAGGGGCTTCCTCCGAATACGCTGCCCAAATGTTAAAACGTGTCCTTGAAAGGGACGACCGCGAACCATCAATCAAGTCCCGTGTGTCGTACATCAAGATCGACGGCTCCGGTAATAAGTCACCTGTTACCGACTTCAATACACTGGTGGAGATTATTTGGATGTTGCCCACCGGCTCCTCCCGAGAGTTTCGTCGTAAATCTGCGGAAACTATTTGCCGAGTGATGGGGGGAGATCTATCTCTGTGCCGTCAGATCGAGCAGAACGCGTTGGGGTGGAATTGTGTCGAAGGGGGGGAAGCCATCCAACAGGCTTTGCTTAGGCCGGTGAAGTACAAAGAAAACTGTGTGACAGAGAGGGTGAGGGAATGCGTCGTTAGAGACGCCCTCGCTTCTCTTGTCGGTGGAACAACCGAAGTTGAAACACCTTCGGGATACATTGATGTTTTGAGCGAAACTGAAGTGATCGAGGTGAAGTACTATCGGCAGTGGAAGGACGGGCTCGGTCAGGTGCTCGCGTACCAGTCACACTACCCTCGTCTGGCCAGGCGCCTGCACCTTTTTGCACACACCGGAGATAGAGATACTGATAAGTACTGCGAGTTGGCAAAGTCAGTGTGTGGTGAGCACATGGTACAGGTCACTTTCGAAGAGGTTGTGGCACAACAACCAGCGCTTGATTTGGAAAGCGATGAAGTGAGCACCGTCGTTGGCCATGAACTTGAGACGGGTTCTGGGGAAGAGAGGGTGTGTACCCAAGTTGTCGAGCAAATGCAGGATAGCCATGTACATCGACCTACGCGACTAACAGAGCCATTTTGGTTTAAATATGCTTCGATTGGTGAGAAGAGGTCGTACGCTTCAATGGAGGCAAGCTCAATGACAGTTAACATGCTGATGTGTTGTAAAGAGAGGTTGCAGTCGGTAGGGAGCTTTGACGAGGTTGCCGCTAGCGAGTTTGCGGACGGGATCAGGCGCATCCAGCGCCGCGTGTCATCAGAATAATGAATATCCGATGACCCACATTGCAAAGTTTACTTAAAACTTAACACTTGAAAGCGGCGCACATGAGTCTCACAGGGCCATCGCGTTCAAAAGCTCCAGAAAAAAATCTACTGCCGCGAGTAAAACGATGGATAGCCCCGAGAAGAACGATGCCTATGCCAAAATCGGTTTTCAACGGATTCTGGAAAAACAGCAACAAGAAGCGAACCGCAAGTTCCGCAAGCAATCCGCCGACACCATCGCGCGCGTCCTCGGTGGCGATGTCTCGCTGTGCGCCGAGATCGAGCAGCGCTGTGCCCGCCTGCAGGTCACCGAGGAGGGCAGGGCGTACCAGTCTTTTATGACGGGCGAAGCGCCCCCCAAGAAGCACACGTCACTGCCGGAATGGTTCGAGTACGCCACGAACGACCAGAAGAGCGCTTATGTAACGGCGGAAGTCAAGAAGAGCGTGGTCGTGACTGAAATTGAGATGCACGAGGTGTGTAAGGTTGGCTTGGAGTCGGTCGGTCAGTTCGCGGGGAGGGACAAAATCGAGTTCGCTGATAGGATCCGGGACACGCAGAGGCGCGCGAGCAGGGCTGACAACCTCCTGGGCGCTCCGGCCCCATCCCCCGCATCCCCGGAGGACGTTGGTGATTCGGCCATGCTCATCGCGACGCCGATTGATAACTCGATCGACCCGGGGACAGGAATGCTCATCCAGTCTGTGTAGCTCGGTATGTGAGCTTCATGTTCCGCTTTCTCCGGCATGAGCCTTATGTTTTGTGTGTGCACCATCATGGCATGGCCTCTCGCGCGAGGGAATAGGTTTTTGGGAGCGGCTCCACGGGCGTGGGTTGCGAGAGAAGCCATTTGGACACCCCTGTGCGCCTGGGGTTGCCGGGTCGCGATGAAGCACCGTTGAGATACGGACCCTATCCCGTAAAATCAGTCCTGTAAGCGTGGCCCCGCTCCATTCCGAACGAATAACTTCGTGTGGCTTTGACACCCGAGCTCACATACACACACACACACACCAATCATGGCTTCGCAAGCAACAAAGCGCACAAAGCTTTCATCGAGTGCAGGACTTACCACTCTCTTGCGAGCCGGATTCAATCCGTCGGATGTTGCCACACTCTCACCGCGCACCAAGGTCACGTACAAATCCCCCGTGACCTTGAAAAATGTGTTCGACAGGCCGACCGAGTCGCAGGTTAAGATTTTCTACCATTCGCGAAACCACAGCGGGGTACCATTCAACCGCCTATCCGACGCCGAGAAGCTCATCTGGACCGAATCTCTCCATGACAACAGCTGTTTGATGGGATATCTCGTCTATTCGCAGTTGCTCCCATGTGCCTCCGAGAATCGCGTTAAGCTCAAGTCAGGAAGCGCGCACTGGAACGAACTGAACGTCTCGACAGACAGGGCAAGACTGGGGCAACGCCGGGCCGCGTACGACAGGCTGCGGAGGAATGGGTCTACTTTCTCCGCGTTCTACGGGCTCCCTTACAGCGTGGACATGACCAAAAACGTGTTGGCATACATGAATATAGATTTTGAACAGAGCGACTTGAGGCACAGATTTTTCTTAGGCCGTGAGTTTGCTATGACGTCTTCAGAGCACGGGAAGATAAACGCCAGCTCGGTGTACACCTCGTGCTCCAAAGCATTGTCCCTCATGTACTTCACCGTTGTCATTCTGGGGCGACCGTGCTGTCTCGAATCGGTCATATTGCCACTGTCCGTGACGGAACGCTCTGTCTTGGAGCAGACGTGGGGTTGCCCGGGGACGCATCTTGACGGGCCCATCAACAAGTTTCAGACGAATTGGTGCGAGGTTTTCCGTGCGATCGGCACGCCTCACAGGAACATCAATTATGTGTGTCTGGAGAGGGCCACGGAGGATTGTTACATCGGTGGAAAACACGTAGCTGATTGCTTTGCTTTGTACAATGCAACTCGTTCAGCTCCGGGGGACGCCAAGACCATCAAGGGGTTGGTAAATCACTACAGGCTAAACTCCAAGATAGGCGTCGAGTCGGGTGCTGTCGTGTGCGTTCTCGACGTGCTAAGGGAAAAGCCCATGGAAGCCGTCGGCAAGATCGACGGCTCTGTGCTGGGGGCGATCACTTCAACCTACGGGAAGAGGGTGAGCCTCGACGTACAGGCGAGGTGCCTCGGTCTGCAAGCGGGCGAGCACTCTCTGTTTGACTGTTCTGTGAGCAACAAGCTAGGGGAGATCATCAATCACGCTGACATGAAGCTCTGGAAGGCCAGGAAACGACTGATAGTCGAGCTGAAGGTCAACGACAGCCTGGACCCGGCGGACATGAACAAGAAGATCAGCGAAGGCAAAATGCTCGACCCCTGTGACCCAGCATCGTCGGAGAAAATGCACGCAATGCTTCAGTCGATATCGAGGCAAGTTTGGCTACCGCTCAAGACCGTGATTGGAGAGGCTCTCGGGGTAAGCATGGATCACCCATCCGCGTTCCTACGGATCTCCGACGAGGAGGCACACCGGCTATACGAGCACGCCAGCACAAAGGGTATGGTCTACGCCGATATCGCCAACCTTAATACGCTTCTGGTCTTGAGCAACAGTTTCCAAAGATCCCAGGTTTTGCGCGAGGCAACGCTGAACGAGTTTGGACTTGTCCCAGACGGTACCTTCTACAGGCAGACTTTCAAGGATCGTGCGTTCAAAACTGCCGGCGCGTCAAGCGGTTCACCGCCCGTGAGTCACTTCAACCTCTCCCCCGGTCAATCCATGATGGTACATTTCATTGCCGTGGTCGGTCACCGCTTCTGCAATGCGAACATGAAGGACGATAAAAGGAAGCTGCTTCTCAATTCGAAGGGGCAGGGGTATGTCCAGAGCGACATTAAGTCGCCTTTCAAAAAGATTGGGGCGCACTGGCTAGGCCTTCCCAACTTCTGTGTTCACACGTGTAGAACCTTCTGGGCTACGGCCGCCCTGAATTCGGGCCAGGTCGATCCCTCCAACATAGAGGATTTTGGAAGCTTTTTGCAGGTGTCGAGTTCCACGCTAAGGAGTAGCTACATGTCGGCTGCTGGTAATTCGGCGGCTCACACGCTGGGTCACGAGGTCCTGGGGTCGGTAGTGACCTCGGCTACCTCGGGAGAAACAACAGAGCAGGGTGATGCGCCACAAGGGCCGAAGTTGCGTAGAATCAGAATGGAGTTTATTGGGGAGATCCGCGCATCTCTCCTCAAGCACTCGGGCAATGCCAAACTCTTGTTCCGCGATCTAGTGAAAAAGCGTAAAGTTGGTCAGCTCGGGGAAGGAGAAAAATGGTTTCGCAGTGAGAACACGTTCTGGAAAGATGATGGAGAAAGGGTGTTTCTGCGTTTCGTAGGAGGGTGTTTGTGAAAATCAAAATGACATTATAATGGTGCCAAACGCGGGCCGACGAGGGCACTCCCTGACTGAGTGGCTATCCTGTTGCTGCTACTGGTGTTGCTTCTGGTTACGATCTCTCTACATTGTTCACCAACGCTGTCTATCCCTATTAATTAGGGACTCGACGTTGTCGTCAACTATCTGTAGGCAATAAATTGCAGGGATTCTTACGTCCCAGATCTCTAATCGGGGTAACCTTCCCGGGTACTCTCTCTACTCACACAGAGTTCTTAATGAAAATACACCTACCACTGTGAATGTCTCGGTCACAACTGTGTTTACATTTCGGGCAGGTGAACACCTCTTCTGCTTTCATCTTCCAGTTGATAAAACCACATCTGTCACACAGCTTGGTTGTCAGTTGTTCAGGTACGATCGCAACTTTCTTCCCGTGGTCATTCCCCTTGTTGATCAAAGTGTTTCAAAGTAGCATGCAGGAGTTTCTGGTTTCGGTGTGATTTTGTCTTCATCACACCGTTCGAAAGTCTACCGACCATGATGATATCGTAGTTACGGACCAAGTAGAGGGCGACCTTGTTGTGCATCTCATTGACCAGGTTGGCGATCCTTTTGGATACCTTACGCCACCCCTTGGTCAATTTCGATTTTGACGCCGTCAGTTTCTTGAGACACTCCCTCTTCTTGATGAGCCTTGAAAGCTTCTCTCTTGCTTCTTCGCCGATAAAACCGATCGAACCATCGGGAGAATAAAACGATCCGAACTTCCGTGACCCCATGTCCAAAGAAACAACCCTGAGTCCGTCGGACTTGGAAGTGACGGGTGTTGTCTTCGTCACAGTTGCGTAGTAGACACCTCGGTCTCTCACAATTTCCGTCAGAAGGCCATCATCGCTTACCAGCTCTTCTCCTAACAGGATATTTTCGTCGAACTCCTTGAAGGTTAGGTGTACACTAGACCCGTGTATACGAGAGTCTTTCTTTTGAAGACCGATCCTCTGTTTCTGATTGAACTTGCTCCGAAAGTGGAGGGAACCGGTTTCACGTGTTTCGACGCCTTTCTGTGCTGCGACAAATTGATCCACTGCTTTCTGCCTCACATGCTCCGGAGTCCTTAGAGTTTTCTCCATTGTCTTGTCCATGCATGGTGCTCTTATCGCCTTGTCCCTGATTTTAGATGTCGAGACACCGTCAATCAGCTTGCGAACACACTCGTTGTACACTCTCCGGCCGTCGGGCCGTCTATAAACACCGGCAACATAATATATCTTGTATTTCGTACGAACGACAACCACATTTAAAACCGAACTTCCGTTGAGTTACGCATTTTTCAAGCTGCTGGCGTTGAGAGGGATGTCCAAGGATTATCGGTAAATAATGCCCAATTTACACCCAAATATGCCTCAAAAACGTCCAAATAAAGGCTGTGTGGCGGCCGTGGTTGGCGGGCTTGTTTTCGTAACAGCGCTACTTACCAGGGTTGTTGCCTGTGTGGCGATTTTCGAATCAATATAGGGAGTGAAAACGACGGAACCACACACATAAATAGTGTGTGGCGGCCGTGGTTGGCGGGCTTGTCTTCGCAACAGCGCTACTTACCAGGGTTGTTGCCTGTGTGGCGATTTGCGTATGAATATAGGGAGTGAAAATTCCCATAAATAGTCGTGGTTGGTGGGCTTGTTTTCGCAACAACTATGCACCAGGGCTTGTTTCACGGTCGGGTTGTCTGAGGAGAACGTAAGCGGTTAAAAGTGGGAGTTTTCGCTCTCGGTCTGCTGTAAGATTCAAACGCAAAATACCACCGGAAGGTACATACAGCTCCCTGAACATGTGATCAACACGGTGCCTCATCCGCGGGGATAGAAGAGAAAGGGCGCACAGTGGCTGATGCTAACGTACTGCCTCGGTGGTTCGTCTGCTGTGTGCAAAATTTCGCTTAAAGGCAAAGGTTTTCGGGACTACAGCTCCGATGACAGCTCCGATCACAGCACTCTATTTCCGATCACAGTTGTGGTACAGAACAGAAAAATCCATCACCATCAGGCTGAACAGGCTGTCAGTACCTCGAAGAGCGGGGCAAATATAATATGTAATAGTATATGTGGGCCACCGGCCAAAGTATGCAGAACAAGTTTTTTGCCGCAGACGCCTCCTTTTCTTTTTGCCAATTGGCAAAAAAGGGGGGCAGTGAATGCTGTCAGGGGGGTGACGTCTTGCCTGATATTTTCTCGGTTTTTGCCCCCCGACGCTGCTGTCGAGCAACCGGAGGGCATCCATCTTTGACACCGCTGGAGCCATGTCTACCATGGATGTGCAGTTCGCAGCTTCAGTCCTTGGTTTAGAGTCTGAGGTGGGTCCGCTTGGCGATATGACATCGGAAGTTCGCGTAGCTCAAGACTTCAATCACGAGCTCCTCGAACCGGCTCTCCAAGAGCTCAAGTCTGCACTCCGCGTCGGGCGATTCGAAGGACAACATGTTGCCCTAGCAGAGAAGCTCCTCGATCGCATCAAGAAGCTGCTGCAGACGCGTAGAGAACGAGACAGAGTACGGCGGGAAAAACAGGTGTGCTTGGTACAATCTCACGGCACTGTACGCCAGTATGTTTACACAGCAGTAGACTAAGTGCAGCCGTGTGGTTGCAGCAGGCCGTAGACAAATACTAATTTACACAGCACCCTCGTGATAAGTGTATAATAGTTTTTTCGCACCACACGGAACACACGTTCATGACTCACGCGCACACGCTGCACAGGCGAGAGGAGCAGCGACCAGGGAGGCACACGAGAGAGAGAAGAGCGAGAAAAAGAGGGTTCACGCAGTGCTCGAGGAACTGCGCATCAGGGAGGCACGCGAGAGAGAGGAGAGAGACCGTAAGCGTGCCGAAGAAAAGCTCAAGGAACTACGCGACAGAAAGGAGCGAGAGAGGGTGGAAGAAACAATCAAGGCACTAGAGCAGAAGCTCACCGCGGTGAGTGTTTGGGTTTGGCGTGTGGATCATGTTAACCCTGTGGTCAAAGATCTTCTAAGCATGCGTGTACACCCATGAATCACGGCTCACAGGGATGGGGACGCGGTATATGTAAGGATTACGAACAGGAGTACATTGTTGGATAAACCGGGTAGGCCGAAGCTTGTAGGTTTGTGGAGAAAGGCAGCTCGGCCAGTGAGGGCCGAGATGGGAAAGTCTTGTATTAGAGGGAAGAGGGAAGGGCAGAGACCACTCGAGGCCGAGCAGCCGAAGAGTGCGTCACCACACCTATCCGTCACGCAATTCTGATCACTCATCGAATCTCCGAAGAAACCAAGCAGAAACTCCCTGTTCCTCCGCGATCTACCAACTGCAATCTCCGTAGATCCATGTCCCATACTCAACCACATTACTATGCTACGAGTATATCTAACAGC